TATCTTGAAATATATAAAGTGTATAAATTTGTTCAAATTCCTTAAATCTATGATCACTCTGTTTGATCCTGACTTCTTGGGAATTACAAAGATGCATGATACAAAATATAGTGTATTTGCTGAGAATTCTACGATTGCACCTTTCTTTATGAGTCCTATCAATTCTGTCATAATTAAATATCATTTCTTTTCTGGCATAATAATATCTTCAGATATTGGTTATACTTTTAAAGAGGGTAGGGAAACCTGTTCTGGGGTATAGACATATCTTAAATTTGAAATTACCTATGATAGACCTAATATATGTTCCTATTAATATGAAAAATATGCTAATCTGGTAGCTACCCTTTGTATCGAATTGTTTATTGTTAATTCTATGGTGTGAGGTGACTAGGTTGCGATACCTGTCTTTTTGTCAGTTTTTCTATTTGTTTTGATTATAGTTATAAAACTAGTAGTTGTTTTTTTTATTACAGTTGTTAGAATTATTGTAGCAAGAATGAATTGGCTTATAAAAATTACTAGTACTGCTTCTATTAAATAAAGTATGATTCTTAAATCTAAAAGCCTGGTTGATAAAATTATTCATGGCATTCTTATTCTCAATAAGAGATCTAAGGTCTTGATTGAATACTTTCTCGTTCTCATTAGCTAGATTATAATCAGGAGATATAATTTTAATAGTATTGTCCTGTCTTGCTTTATTAATATAAGATAAAGAGTTCAGTAATAGGATTTTAACGTTTCTAAGGGATATCTTAATCATTGACCATACTTGATATGCTTCGTATTCAGCTTCAGAAGGTTTTGACATATATACTGATTTGAGAATATTTTCTATTAGACATAAAACTACAGAGGTTCTATAGAATACTCTAGACAAGGTTCTATCTGTTTTTTTGCATGACTGGATAAAAGCTTCTATATGTATTTGTCTATGAGAGGTGGATTGTATTTAATACTTGAATTATGTGGTTTTGTTTTTAAGTATAGCAGATCTTTCTTCACTGGAAAGAACATTATTTTTGTAGATTTTTGTAGATAAATTAGCTATTTCTCCAAAGGAAATCCATGCTGTATATATGTTAATATCATTTTCATAGAAGTCAGGATCAAACAGAGTGATCATAGATTTAAGGAATTTGAACAAATTTATACACTTTATATATTTCAAGATA